AGTTAATGACGCGCCTTATCAACACATTGTGTTGGAGTTCACTGCTTGTTTTTCTACTGTCACCATTGTCTCGGGCTGCTTTAAAAAATGTGTATCTATATCTATAAACGTGTGATTGTGTTTGTTCCAGACACACTCGAACTACCACTTCGACTACGGGGTGAAGGACTACCACACCGGGGACGTGAAGAGCCAATGGGAGTCCCGGGATGGCGACCACGTGAAGGGTCAGTACTCGCTGATCGAACCGGACGGAAGCCTGAGGACGGTGGAATATTCGGCGGACCCGCACACGGGCTTCCACGCCATCGTCAAGAAATCCGGCGGCGGGAACCACTTCTCCTCCAAGTACAATCTCCTCCCGGCCCCGGTCCCTTTCAAGCCTCTGCCCATCAAGAGCTTCTACCCGTCCCACCTCATCAACACCTACGACGGCAAGCACTCCGCCTACCTCAACCTCCGCCCCAAGACTGTTTTCCGCGTCCCTCAGGTACGTAACACCAATAATTATTCGCAAAGCACTCAGGCAAAAAAGGACAACACGTTGGCGACAAGAGGTGGAAGAAGAGATCAGAAGGTGCCAATTGCCTGATGATCTCTAGGAGGATAGGGGGCAATGGCGATTGGGCGTCGCAGAGCGCGAGGCTGCGCTGAGAAAGCGACTTAATGTATGTACTCAGGCAGACTAAGGTTGCCGAATAAGGTGTTGGATTGGGTCCCCGCAGGTAGGCGACGGAGAGGGCGTCTAGCCTAACGGTGGGTAGAGGGCATCCGTGAAGAGATTGAGAGATGCCAGCTTCCGGAGGATCTCTACCATGACAGATTCTTGTGGCGGGTAGGCGTCACAGAGCGCCCTAGCGCGCCGTAAAAGTGGCTTATAAATGCATACTTAGGCAAAAAGCTCTCATCGATTTGGGAACCAAGATTGATTGCCAAAATCCCTCTTAGAAGATAGTTTACATTCTGGAGAAGGTCGGCATGCAGGAATCTCCAGAAGCGATTAGGTCTGTAATGCAGCTGTGCTAAGAACGAACGCTGGACGAACCTGCAGGCGCAGCCAAGTTTCCTTTGATAAAGTACGAATTTGGTGGAAACGTTTTTCAATATTTTTCTTCAAATTACTCAGACTATTTTTTTCATAATTTAATGTAGAATATCTGAAAATTTCAAGAAAAAATATGTTTAACTTTCCTCAAAAATACATAGTTTATTCGAGGAAATTTGGCATATCTCGGATTTTCATACGGCGTTCTTTAGGGTGCGGCTTATCTGATGGCTTAAAAAAAAAGTTTGAAATTTTACGGTGCCTCATCGCCAATCAGTTCGAAATCATAAGAAAACATCCTAAAAAAATTTT